CTTTTTTTTTACCCTCCTTAAATCTTCTATTTATAGGCCAATTATTGGCTTTCTCACTGAGCTACAAACACATCTGATGAATAAATTGTAGTTTGCTTTCCTGGGTCAACAATTAGACGTCTTTTCTGCGCAGGTATAAAGTGGCCTCCTTGGGAGCTGTGCTGGGCTGTGCCTTTCTGGTGACCAACCTTCCCTGGGCCCTGAGCTGAGGTCAGCATAGTTTTTTTCTTCTTGTCAATCCTTACCTGAGGACATTCATCCCACTGATTTTTAGGGAGAGTAAAGGGAGGGAGGGAGGGGAAGAGGGAGAAACATCTATGTGAGAGAGACACATTCATTGGTTGCCTCCTGAACGTGCCCTGACTGGAGCCGGGATCAAACCCCCAGGTATGTGCCCTTGACCAGGAATTGAACCCGTGACTCTCCAGTGGGCAGGCCAATGCTCTAACCATTGAGCAACACTGGCCAGGGCAGGTCAGCATAGTTTTAAAGATATGTACTGGAAGAGCAATGTCTTGTCTATCATGGGACTCCTTTGGATTAAAATCACAGAAACTCAATAAAAAAAGAGGAATGATTTTGTGAAGATACAAGACTGTTTCATGGATGAGAAAGCAGTTGGCCCCCAGGTACCATGTGGAAATATATCTATTACGTTTATTTAATTCTACAGGTTTGCTTTATTCTCCCTTTTTGCAGACTAGCTTCTACTCTCCTGTACATATGATGAAGCATGGGGCTAACAGCTTCTGAGTTTGAACTCTTAGAGCCCAGGTGTACAGAGAAAGATGGCCTTGACCCATGTCCCAATCAATACTGAAGAAAAACTTTCATTGCTCTCTTGGGCCAAGAGTCCATCCTGGAACCAATAAAATGCGGTCCAACGTGGAATATTTTATTCTATTGTATTTATGGGGTAATCATTTGGATGCAGGGTGGCAGGAAGGGGCTGTTGCCTGTGGAAGACATGCTGGACAGATCAAGGAGCAGAAGTTTGCTACAATGTACGTGTGTAGAGGAAAAGAGTTTACAAGCCCCTTCCCATATGAGTGACCTCACGTGAGCCTCATGAGTGTTGAGTAACATGGCCAGACAGGAACTACTGGTGCACCACACACACTGGAGGGCACCAAATGTTCTTGGAAACTGAGTGACTTGCACAAGATTTACAGAGAAGTCGGGAATGATCATTCCACTGCCCAACAAAACCCATCTTTGAAAATGTTCCTGAACTCCCACCACCTTCTCAAAGTTGGTGAACAAACAGGAAAGGAATATGATCTTACCTTGTCTTCTCCAGGAAAAAAAGGGAAGAAATGCAATTCCAGGGAAGTGTAGTTCCAGAGAGCAGGAAGGAGGGAAAAGGAGTGAGGCAGAGGAAGAGAGAGAGCAAATAGAAAAGAGTGAGTTACTAGGGCCACAAGTTGGAAACGAGCTGACTGCTTTGTATCGGAGGATATTTCCAGAGCGACTGTTTGAAGTCACTGTGTGTAGCCCAGTGGGCAGGCGAGGAAAAGGTATAAATATTTACCCACAAGGGCTTCCACCGCCCTCGCCCAAAGTTCAGGCCCCAGGGCATTAACTCACTAACACTTCCTGTTGCACGAGTTTGGAAACACAGCGGGACCTGCTGGGCCACAGAGAAGTCCTAGGGTAGAAGCAAGATGTTGTCAGGTCTTACCTGAGAGTGATGTGAAGGATCAGAGGGAGCCATGGAGAAAGTCTGGCTGGCCCTGAAGGCCAGGCTCTACCATGACATGACCTCCTGCCACAAAGGGGGCAAGAGACCTTAACAAGCCTCCTCCCTGTGGCCTATAAAAATGCAGCTGATGCTAGGGCAATTTCCTGGAGGGTCATGAGCAGCATTGAGCAGCTGGCTGCATGGTCTCAGCTGGGGATGGTGACACCGGTCCCTGATGAAGACTCACTTCAAGGACACCTCTCCTGGTCCACCTCAGAACTGATTGATCCCTCTCTCTTTTTAAAATATGTCTTTATTGATTTTTTTAGAGAGAGAGGAAGGGAGAGAGAGAGATAGAAACATCGAAGTGAGAGAGAAACATTTGATCGGCTGCCTCCTGCACATCCCCCCCCCCCCGGCCCTGCCCCGGATTGAGTCTGAAACCGGGGCACGTGCTCTGACTGGGAATCTACCAGCAACCTCTCAGTCCTTGGGACGACACTCAATCCACTGAGCCACACTAGCTGGTCAATTGAGTCCTTCTTTATGCCCAATGTATACACTCTTCACCTGCATATATAAACATTTAACAAAATGATTTATTCAGATTTTCCCCCTCTCCTAGAGATGATTTCTGTGAGGTTGGAATAATGGTGATTCAGTGATTCAATAGTTTATCGAGTACCTACTATGGGCTGGGCAGTATTTTAAGTGGTAAGAATAGAGTAGTGATAGACACAGATCTTTAACTTATGAAGCTTACATTTTAGCTTTGTATCAGTGTGTATTTAGCTTTTCAGTGTGTGTGGAGAGACCAATAAAGAAATAAGTAAAAAATATATTGTGCTAGAGGGTGACATATGCTTTGAAGGGAAACCAAGCAGGAAAGTTGGATGGGAAGAGTGGGCGGGGAGTGAGGGCTGCAGATTAACTAGGTGGCCAGGGAAGGCTTCACTGAGTGGCATTCTAGAAAGAGCAGACTTGGACACTTAGGGGGGAAAAGTTCCAGAGACAGAGGAAAGCAATTGCAGAGGCCCTAAGGCATGCTGGGTGTTTTGCAGGAAGGGCAGGGAAGCCAATGTGACCAAAGAAGAGGACGAGAGAGGGAGGAGAGAGAGGAGAGAACAGGTGTGGTCAAAGACTTAACATGGGGCCAAATATCTTAGAACATGGAAGTGATTTGGCTTCCACTTGGGGGTGAATGAGGAGGCTGTAGGGCTTAAAGCACAGACGTGATCTGACTTAGATGTCAACAGTATCACTCTGGCACAGTTAGGAGACTAATGGGGTAAGTCGGGTGAGAAATGTGGTTGTTTGACACACAACAGTGTGGTGATGGCCAGAGGGAGTGGGGGGTGGGGGCTGGGTGGAGGCTGGCAAAGGGGGTGTGGGTGGTGGGGACATCTATAATAGTGTCAACAATAAAAAAAGAAATAAAAAAGAAATGTTGTTTGGTAGCAGAAGAGGTGGTGAGAGGTAGTGTGATTCTGGTTTAAAGATGAAGCAGATATGATTCGTGATGGATTAGAAGGGAGATTTGAGAAAGTAAAGCAAAAAGTTTACTCCAAGTGTTTGACCTGAGCCAAGACAACAGGAGGAAAATTAGTAGTTGGAGGAAGATTAGTAGTTTAGACAGGAAATCTCTCTTAGACATTAAAGTGGAGTTGTTTAATTGATAGTGGATTTAGAAGTGTGAAGTTCAAGGAAAAGTTCATGGCTAGAGATATATATTTGGGAGCCATTAGTATGAACCTGAAAGCCACAGTACTGAATTAGATCACAGAGTGAATTAATGTAGATAGAAAAGTGCGAGGACAAAAGACAGACTCTTAAGCCACTCCGACTTTAAGGGGCTAGAAAGGTGAGAAGTAGCCAGCAAGGAGACTGGGTAAAAAGTGGCCATGAGGTAGGAGAAATGCAGAAAAATGTGGTTTCTGGAAGCAAAGATAAGGAAGTGTTTCAAGAGTCAGGTAATGAACAACTTGGCCAATGCTACTGACAAGAGGTGTGGAGAACTGACCTTTGGGTTTAGCAGCATGGGCATCACTGTGACTGTGAGCAGTTCAGTGCAGTAGGGAAGGGCAAATGCCCAAAAGGAAGTTCACAAGGGAATGGAGGGAAGAGAAACTGAAAGCAGGAAATATAGGTAATTCTTTAGAGTATTGCTTTAAAGAGAAGGCAAGAAAAGAGGGTGGTAGCTGGAGAGAGAGGGAGAGTAAACAAGAGAGCATCAAGGGCCTGTCTATATGCCTCTTGGAAAGGTCCAGTCAACCTTACTGGCAGAACCAGGAAGAAAATGAATGAGTGTGAGAAAAAGGAACAATGTATCTTCATGGACCACGGAACTTATCCATACATAGTTCCTGAACTGATGAGAAAATATATTGTGGGAGAGAAGGTGCCTGAGTTAGTTAGGTCTTACAGGCCTAATGTCTTAAAGGTTTCAGTTTTGAAAGGCATTGATAATGAGCCTGTCAAATAGCAAAGTTCTATACAGATCTGTGAAGCCAAAATGTGGTCTGATGGCATTTTCTGAGAGGTTCCTTTAGAGGGAGCAGTTTTACAGAACGCTGCAGTTGCTATCATCATCATCACCATCATCATCAAATAGCAATTAAGTGCCTAATTTCTCCTACCACCTCATAAATTAAAATAATAGGGCCTTGTTCCCTGGGGGAAGTGGTTGTGGTGCCCAGCAGTAGTATAAGGAGGCCAGAAGGTCAGAGATGGCTGTGGGGGGCGGAGAAAGGGGGGCGCGCGTGAAGTAGACGTATAGGGCTCTTGCCAAACCACTCTTGCCACCAGTTCCTGATTTTCACCCTCCCTCACCAAGAGCCAGAGTGGACGGCTCCTTCCCTGTTACTTCTTCCTCCTTTGCTCTTTGCGCCCCCTACGTCTCCTTTTGCCATTTTCTCTCAGTGCAGGGGTAGTTCTGAAGATCGCCCCGGCCCCCACTTGCCTCTTCATTGCTTGCAGGCGCGCGGGAAGCGGACCGAGACCCCTAAAACTCCAGTGGGGCAGGGGCCGGCGTTCTGAGCATGTGCGAGCAATTGCTCGCCTTGGGGCTGGGGCAGATGAGGGGGGTCGGCTCCAAATCGCTGCCCTAAACGCAGAGCAAAAATACGGTGAGCGCAGGGCTGGGCAGCACTCCCCAGAGCAATGCCCCTGCGCCCGGGGCGCAGCGCCTGGGCCCTTCCCTCCCGGCGTGGGCGAGCTGGCCGCGTGTGCCTAGATGCTTGACGCGAGGGGGAACCAATCAGGGCGAGCGGCCCGGGATGCCATGTGACGGACGAGGCGGCTCCTTTACCCAGATCGGCCAGAGGGAGGAGAGAACCGGGGCTCGCCGCGAGCCTTCGAGAGCAGCGGTCGCGGAGGCGGCGGTGGCGGCACAAGCTCGAACCAGCAGCGCGCGCATCCCCGGCTCCCTGCACAGCAAAGAGCTCGGCGGGCCACGGCGGCCAGCACAGGAGTGGACAAAGCAAGATGGCAGGGATCTTAGCTTGGTTCTGGAACGAGAGGTTTTGGCTTCCGCACAATGTCACCTGGGCGGACTTGAAGAACACGGAGGAAGCCACCTTCCCGCAGGCTGAGGACCTCTATCTCGCCTTCCCCCTGGCCTTCTGCATCTTCATGGTGCGGCTCCTCTTCGAGAGGTAAGAAGGGCTGGAGCGCTCCTCCCCTCCCCCTAACACACGCGCGCACACACACACGCACACCCTCGCGCGCACACGCACACTCGCTTGCTCTGTGGCTCACGCACCCGCGCCCCAGCGCTCGCGCTCACGCCTCCCAACCTTTGTGTTCGGGAGCGGGCTGCTGACCTCTCAGCCCGGCGCCGTTCAGGAATCCAGAGGGGTTTGGCTTGCCCACGGATTCCTCCGGGCGCCCGGGAGGGGCCGGGACAGCTGGGGTCGCTCCGCGCACTCCTTCTTGGCCCGCTCTCTCCTCGCGGCGAGGGCCGGCGAACAAAGGTGAGAGGCGCCGGCCGTGGGACGCGCCGCACCCCGCGGGGCTGGTCCCCCTCCACCCTGCGAGCACGCCGCGCTGAGCGGCAGGGCTGGCCCGCCGGGGCTCGCCGCCGCCACCTGACAGCCACGAACGTTCCGGACGCGCGGCCGGGAGGGCGGAAGAACCGCGCGCGATGCCAGTCGGCGCACCCAGGCACACGGGAATGTTGGGACCGTGATACACGGGTTTGTCAGGGACTCCGGGCTTCTGGCCGCTATTTGGTTTCCAGCGGTGACACTGAGTATTAGGGAAATAGGTGACAATAGTTTGTAGGTTTCCACCACTCCAGGCCATTAGCTGTTTCTTTACACGGGGATATGACAGGACGGGTGCACAGCCTGCAGAATGATGATATTAAATCGATAGATGTCTCCTATGAATAACCATAGTTTTGTTTTGGTACCATCATGCATTTAAACATTTTTAAAGAATTGACATTATCCTCGGATTTGGCTGGGTAGCGGCACTGGGTCAAGAACAAACTTGTGCTACTTTCATTGACCCAGTCTTGGTCACTAAACTAGATTTTGCCTGCCATGGCTCTCCGGGTCTCATGAAACAGAGCTGGGGTAATAAGCACACACTTTTCTCAACTGAAAACCTCACCACCGCTTGCTTGCTTCTCCACTCGCCCCTTTCGTCAGAAGAGGTTTGATTTCTTAGACCACAGAGTAGAGTTTAGACTCCATTTCTCACTTCCACTCCCTCTCTCTTCCCTGGCCCCCAACTCACCTTGGGTTTGTGTCTTCAGCCTTTGCTCTGTTAATTTTGTTTGCTGTTTCTGTTTGTCAAAAACCGCTATTGAGTGTGTTAGAATTTGTCTTTTGCATCATTTGTTGCTGGAAATGACAACAAAGAGTCATGTGAACAAAAAGTATCTTTTGTTTAAGAAAGGTGCGGGCAATATTGTCACTTAAGAACTAAGTGAGCTGTTCCATGCAGAAATTGACATGCACAAGGGAACAGATTTAAAGACCTTTTTTAAATGATCAGAATCCAGCACAGCTACCTCATTGATCCTGTCTAGCACTAAGACTTACTGTGAAAAAGTGGGTGTGTTTGCAGGTTTAGAGTTGCTTCTAGAGCAAATGTTTACTTACAGAAAACAGGAATTCATATCTACCCTTGCAATCTTTCCCCCAAAAAGCCTCCCAGGAACAGCAGGTTGCTCTGTGTTGACACACAGTAGGGGTTCCACACAGCTGCCAAATGATATCTAATCAATTCTGACTGATAAATTCTGGCTGGGATCACTTTTAGCTACCAATGCATTTGAAAGAGATGTGTAGTCTTATGTTTTGGAAAACAAAAGCATGTCACCTGATGATCTGTATGCAGAAAGCTGATTCCAGGCTGTTCATTATGTTGGAGAAAAAGAAAATTAGATAATGGAGATAGCTTTATACTTAGACTTTCTCTGCCTTAAAAAAATAATAATTAAAAAACAATGTGATAGTTGAAAACTGGAAGTTCATTTTTCCTCTTCCTGAAGAGTTTTCTCTTCCTTTGCACAATCCCATGACTTAGTGTTTTCACAAAGGAGTCGTCTGCTTTCTACTATCAGTCACAGCAAATGTCCTCATATCATCGATTCAGTGACCATTCAGGCCATTGATTCAAGTACAAGTGATTGAATGGCCTGTATGGAAAGTGAAAGTTTATGGTTAATGTTCAAAGTGATAATTCAGTGTGGCCTACACATCACAGGAGGCTACTGACTTTTCTAAGGGTGTCTATTTTGTCTCTTGCTATAGCAGTGACAACTGTCTTTAACCATTCAGACTCAATTCTTTAAAAATCCAAATGTATAGTTGTATCCAGAATTACAAGTTCTGCATGTTTATCCTCTTCTCAAACCTAAATAACACATTCTGGCATCCAGCCTTTGGCCTTCATCTCAGCATCCATCAAGGGCCTGAATCAACGTTACTGAACCAGTCGATATTATCACTGGTATGACTCACTTTCAGTACCCATCTAATAGTTGTGCAAATATTTTTTTCTTTTGCGGTGTTCTATAATGTATAATATGATTTAAAGGAGCCTGTTGTGTATCCCTCTGTGAAATGAAATGCTTTTATAATAGAAATAATTCTCTCAGGTTCCTATTTGTTTTTCTATTGTCATTGATTTCATAGCTAAGAACATATCTATGAAATAAATACCTGATTATCCAAGATCTTTTGTTGTTGTTGCTAATCCTCATCTGAGGATATTTTTCCATTTATTTTTAGAGAGAGTGAAAGGGAAGGAGGGAGGGAGGAGGAGGAGGGTGGGGGGGCGAGAGAGAGAGAGAGAGAGAGACAGAGAGACAGAGACATCTATGCAAGAGAAGCACATTGATCAGTTGCCTCCTGCATGACCCCACCAGGGCCGGGGATTGAACCTGCAACCCAGGTATGTGCCCTTGACCAGGAATCAAACCCAAGACTCTTCGGTCCTCAGGCTGACACTCTAACCATTGAGCCATACTGGCCAAGGCAAAATCTTTATTTCCATTAAATGGAGTTAGTAATGCCCTTGTTGAGGCTAAAATTATGAATTTGAATTCCTTCTTCTCAGTCTTAGGTATTTCTCTCTATAAAGAATGGACTGGCCCTGGCCGGTTTGGCTCAGCGGTTAGAGCGTCGGCCTGCGGTCCAGAGAGACCCGGGTTCGGTTCCCGCTAAGGGCACGTATCTCGGTTGCAGTTTGTCCCCGGCCCTGGTTGGGTCGTGAGGGTGGCAGCCACTCGATGTGTCCCTTTCACGTCGATGTTTCTCTCTGTCTTCCTCTCTCTCCCTCCCACTCTATCTGAACAAAAAGTGGAAAAATGTCCTCGGGTGAGGATAAAAAAAAAAAAAAAAGAATGGACTGAATTGGACCTTTGCCCAGTTAAACAGTTCGGTCTTTTTGTATTCACCCTTACTGTTGGGGTGTTGACAGCGGAGACATTGGTGGCCAGAACAGTGCCATGTTATAGTACCATATGGACAACAATATGGATGCCCGGCGTGATTGGTTAAAAACAGAGCAGTCTCAATTCATTGACTTTTGGCTGAGTCTGTGAATAGCTCAAAGCTTGGTGGTATTAAGCATAGCCTTTATACTACACTTAGCTATTGGTAGGGACAGGAAGGGACACTGTAGATATGTCTTAATCGACAGTAAAATGTCTGTTGTGAAAACAAGACAAAACTGTATGATTTCTCCTAGAACGAAAATTGTAGTGAGCACTATTGTATTATGCTATTAGCTTGATGACAAGGAACAAAATATAATTTAATAATGTGGCATTATCATCTATTTGATTAATTTTCTTGATTTATGCTTGTTTAGGCTCAGGAGTCCATTCTTTGATATTATAATGAATGCTTTTTTCCAAATTTAATTAAAAAAAAAGTGTGTTGCTATGATATGGATAAATGTGGGATTAAACTTCTGCTGAATTTGTTTGGGAATAAAAGAATTCTTTAAGCTATTGTCACAAAAGATAATGCTAATGCATTTTCTTCCTTGTGGGTTTAGGAGAGAGATGCAGAAAATATGGATTGAGGATCAGAACATTCAAGTTCTAGTCAAACTTACCTACTGGTGCAGGCACCTAATTTCTCTCTGCCTTATGTTCTCATCTGTGCGGTGAAGCAGCTGGCCTTTGGCATCCTTTCAGCTTCCCAGTGATCTGATTCCTGTAGCTTACTAATTATTATCTCAGCAAACTCTGGAGGAGGCTAAGCATGATTTTTTTGCAGGTAAAAATAAGTCATCTAAGAATAAAGGTTTTTGTTTTTTTTTCATACAAATATTCTAGCCAATGATTTTGTTTCTTGTATTTTTTAAGCATGATTTGAGTGAAAAGAATCATTTGGGCTAATCTTATTTGTGCTCCAAAAAGCTACAGAATTTTGGAACAGCTAACAGAGAAGATTCTGCAGACAAAGCAATTGCTCTGTCCTCAGACCTTTTTTTCAGATGGACCAGTGTAGACCTGGCACTTCTTGTGATGGCTGGATAAGACATGAGAGGCTTGCCCTGGCCTGTTTGGCTCAGCGGTTAGAGCGTCGGCCTGCGGTCCTGAGAGACCCGGGTTCAGTTCCCGCTAAGGGCACGTACCTCGGTTGCAGTTTGTCCCCGGCCCTGGTCGGTTGTGCGGGTGTCAGCCACTCGATGTGTCCCTTTCACATTGATGTTTCTCTCTCTCTCTGTTCCTCCCTCTCCCTCCCACTCTACCTGGACAAAAAAATGGAAAAATGTCCTCAGGTGAGAATTAAAAAAAAAGAAAAGAAATGAGAGGCTTGCCCAGGCCGGTTTGGCTCAGCGGTTGGAGCATCAGCCTGTGGACCAGAGAGTTCTGGGTTCGGTTCCCACTAGGGGCACGTCGAAAAAAAAAAAAAGAAAAAAAGAAAAGAAAGAAAGAAATGAGAGGCTCAATCCTGTCAGTTTGGCTCTCAGAGTGGCAAGCTGTGGGAGAACTGCCATTCTTCAGGAGGCTCACACCAGTCTCATTCAGTCAAATAATGATCTATGCCCCCAAACCTTTAATGAACAACAGTGTCTCAGCTATGTTTGGCCAGTGGGCTCTTCTTGTGGGTATACTTAGTCTGTTTGCCTTGCCAGCAGCCTTGGCTGAGGTCCTGGAGGAGAAGAGAGGGGAGAGGAGACAGAG